CGCTTCACCCATGCATTATGCTATTGCAATTGGGATCTCTATTGTGGCCGATTCGGTGACCCCCTCAGAAGAGCACGTCCCACCAAATCACAAATTTGAACAAGCTGTGCAACACTTCTTCCGCCTTTCCTTCTCAACCAATCTGCTTCTTGATACTCACTATGTCTGTACAGCTGGGGAGGCTTTGTCCCACCCGACAGATCCTGGCCTCGTCGTCTCGGTTGCAGCTGGTACGTTCGAAGATCTTTGCAAGATCTCTTTAAGGAACGGATCTTTGTCATTAACGCTCACCCCAGGACGACAGAACGAGACAAAGCCGCATACTTTCCGCTCGTCTGAGAAAATGAGTTGTTATCTGACGGCACCGCTACCGCATCTAGCATGACGGCGCCATGGCGCTACACAGGTTTCCAGCTTGCAAGAGCGGCAACGCGAGCTACCTAGTTAAATCGCCCACCTCCACAGGATGCTCTTAAGATCTTCGGAATGCCGTCCGGTATGGCTCTGCGGGAGCGTTATGAGCGCACCAACTCGCTGTAGCGAAAGCGTCCTTCGGAGCAGGTCTCCGCAAACCGGACCCCACTTCCATCTCGCAAGAAGAAATCGCTCACTTCCACGCATTGCTCGAAGCAGCTCTCACGCAATGCTCGCCGTCAAATGTCCAGGTATGACCATTCGCCCTACGCTATCACAAGGGGATGACTAACTAGGTCAAAACTGCAAGGCATGGCTTCTGAAGAACACGACGCCATCTTCGGCAAGGATCACAGCGCTGAGCAAATGTTCAGCGCTCGGTCGATGCAATTGCACTGCGGGTCGATCGTATGTACAGATGAGCCAAGTTACAGCAAGATGATGTCCAAAGGCGGCTGCGATACCCTGTTAGTCGAACAGACAAGGATTGCTGCTTCTACGAACCAAAGTGAGAAGCACGCTGAGCGAGACCGGAAAGGAAAGTCGAGGAGGGTGGCACCATCCGCAGCTTTGTGGTCAGCCTTTGACTTGTCCGCGTCTTTCGTGGATACAACAGCCGGTGAGGAGGGCGGAAGTCTACGGACAACGGCCAGACGGAGGTGTCTACACGTCCTTTACCTTCTGAATTGCATACGGACCTCAAGAGGCGGCATTCCAGGCTAAGCCAGCTTCCGTCCCTATTCATGCGCAAGCGTTGGCGTTTGAGGCTGCTTCGGCGAACTCAGGTGTTGTCTTCTCTGCAGTCGCAAGAGTTGGTGGCTATCCCATCCCTGCATAGTCTCATCACTGCATCACTCCTTAGCCGTCGCCGGCGGTTCTATGCGCACTCAGAACAAAACTTGAGGATGCCAATGCGAGAGGGGTGAGAGACTCCGTCATCAAGTCTGTTCTTGGGGATCGTCCAGATCTTCCTTTTGGTCGATCTCCGATGCCCGGCGGAAAAGGTACGTTATCTCTACAGAACAACCTCGGAGCAATACAGGAAGCACGTCACAGCTGACCAGATCCGCGCAACAGGAAAGACAGGCGGCAAGACCGGCGGCAGTCCCTGCCGCAAGTCAGACGTCAACGAACCGTCACTGGTCCTTCCCGGGCCTTGCGCCACAAGTCACGTTCGAGGATAAGCGCCGCCATTCGACCAGCAAGATCAGCATCGCGACAGCATACCACAAGACATGGGCTATCCTCAGGCTGACGAGCGACTGCAGGTACGCGTGACCCTCATCAAAGATTTACGCACATAAGTGGGACACAAGTGCTGACGTTGACGAATAGTTCCCCTGCAGCCGCATAAAGCGCCACCTCCGAAACATAACGCGCAACCGGACGCGCATCGGCGCCAAAGCGTCCATCTACCTGACCGCGGCGCTTGAGTACCTGACAGCCGAAGTGCTGGAGCTGGAGGGCGACGCGGCGATAGATCCAAACAATGTCGACGGCTCGCTTATGCAACATCAACTACGTTCGCGGCGGAGCTCACACTTTTGAACTTCGAGTACGTCCATACTGAGTTTGTATCCGGGGATGATTGGTCCCCACCTCTATGGTCAGTCACCCGGCTTCTCGCACCGGGTCCGACTACTCGTCGTTCATCACGGCTACCCAATAATCAACATGGCACCCATCACCAGCTTCACCGTCCAGGGCGGACTCGGCCGGATCATTGTTGGCTCTCTTGATACGATGATCTTGATGAACCTCACGACGCAGCTCAAGCACGCGCGGGACTGGATATCCACGAGCCTTGACTACGACAAGGATCACGACGGTAACACGTTTGAAACGACGATTCGTATGCTCGGGGGCTTCCTCTCCGCGCACTACTTGTCAACGGAGCTCCTCACTACACTCCAAGCGGCGGTGCACCTTCCTGAAGCGAGCGCGCGTCACCATCATGGACCAGAACCGATAGTTCGGCCAGCAACAGCTTGGAATCCTTCAAGACTTCGATCCAGGATATTCAAATCCGGTTAGCGAGCTGGTATTCTTCGTGGAAAGGTTTGTCAGCCCTTGGACTCGTGTGGCGACGGTGTCATGGAATCCCCGAAGGATCTCCCGGCGAAGATCTCTACTTGGAGAAAGCGAGCGCTCTCGCCGATCAGCTCTGTTTCGGCCACCGACGCGATGAATGCGCTCAAAGCGTGATCACCGCTAGACTTTGCCAGCCAGGTCACTCACTTGGCGAAGGAGGTGGGCACAGAGGGATGACTAGGCGGTCAGGTCTCGCTTCCAGGTGTTGATGGCATATGGGCTGAGCTTACCGCGACCGCATGGTCCACGCCCACGACGCCATCCCCTTCGGCACATTCTTCATCCCCTACACCACGACGCTCTCGCTCAACTGGCCCTACGAAGCGCGCGACGTCCTCGTCCTAGACCCTGCATCTGCAGTAACAACGAACACGTTGGGCACAGCATGAGCGTACGTGGGAAATTTCGCTTCTTGAATGGAGACTTCGCTCAGTGGATGCAGTGAACGTCATGGCTAGGAACCTCACAGAGCAGGAAGCCCCGTTGGACTATTCGAAGCTGGTATTTTCGACAGCCTTTCACAGCTCCCGCCTCAATGGCCTGACACACTCAAACCAAATCCACCTTTCCGTCGATCGATTTAAGCGGCACACCTGCGGCGCAACCTTCACCTCGGTGCTTGCCGCTGGCCCTCCTTTCTTTTGCGCCGCCGCTTCTGTCGTTGCGTCTGGAACTTGTGCCGTGAGGCGATTGGAGCTGACAGTTATGGAAACGGCCTGTGCTACTTCCAAGCCAGTCTTGATACACGCGCGAAGAGAGGAAGACTTGAAGAGTCAGGCGTATCAGAAAGACGGGCTGGCTTGGTACGGCGGGCGACAGATGGCACTGTCGCGCCCCATGATCAGGTGACGCGACGAAGCGTACATAGAAGAGCAATGGTGTAAGAGTTTTGTATGGGCGCTGTGGTGAGGAGGTAGCGGTTAAAGACAAAAACGACACTCTCCAAATACTCAGCAGCAACGCAGACCTCGCGTTCTCGAATGCCGCATCGCCTCCAATTCCAACCTGCCTCCAAGTCCCACGCACCTCGCGCCGCTCCAGCATATTTCCCACAGTCCGCCACCTTCTGCCACCGCAGAAATCCCACACCAGCGCTGTCGGCCCGCTTACCCAGTGTCCCTCTCCCAGCCACGAACACTTCGAAGGCATATGCGATGCGGTCTGATGTACCGCCATAACAAGCTCAATAAAGACAGTGCTCTCTTCTCCAGCCACCCGCTCCGTTCAAGGATTCACAGTGGCAGCAGCTAGTGCTCCATCCTTCGCACACAGTTGATAAGCCCGCTCCGAGCAAGTCTTCCGAGGCAGCAGAGACCGGCTGCCAAGCCCAACGCCGAAAGACCGTCTCATCTCCGTGGACGAAGCGTACCGCACGCCGAGACAGCCGCTGCGTTGCAAGCTGTGAGTTTTCCCCGGCGAACTCGCTTTTCATAGTGTTCTGACTGATTAGGATCAGCTTGCACCTAGCTCTCGCGCTGCGACACACCGTCACATGTTAAAGGCACCAACCGGCAGCTTGAAGGGTGCTCGCATCGAGAGCGTCCGGTATGTCAACTGGTACCAGGAACGCGTTGCGAAGTTTCCAGAGCTGCTTCTTTCTGCAATGTGCATCCGGCAGCACAGCGTAAATCTCCTCCGAGACTTTTCGCTCACAAATCCAGCGAGCTGACTTAGCACTGTAGAAAACCGGAGAAAGATAGGATGTCTAGAAGGCCGGTTTCAATCTGCGTCTTGCAAGCCTTTTTTCCGAACGCCGGGAGCCAAGACGGCAACCGCAGTCCACGGACCCAACGCATATCATTGTACCGAATCCAACGAGCATCAGCCATGCAGCCGGCGAATGCCTTCGAATCACGACGTTTTCCGCAGCAGGCAGATACAAGGGAATTGCTGAGCGGTCAATCAACCTCAGGATTCTTCGAGATCGGATGTGGAGGATAACAACTGCCAGGGAGGCATAAGAGTAGCGGAGGAGGATGATTTGGCGTTGAACCCCGCTGATCCTGAAGTAAACTGAGCGGCGGCAGGCTGGAAGCGCCGGAGGACTGGCTGATGTTGTATCGAAAGCTGGGGTTTTGACATTCCGGATGGTCGTTTGAAGGTCATGTTGGCGGCGTATCCCTCGCAGCGAGTTTTGGATAGCGGATCGTAGATCGTGGAAGTTGTAAAGCCGCCAGCAGAGCCAAAACTGAAGTTATTGAAACCATGATGATGGAGCTGAAATCCGCAAACTCAACACCATGATAATGCATCGTGACCTTGATGATGCTGCAAACTGTCAGCCTCAGAACTGGAATCTCCCCAGAATGCCCGTTCTCACCCCACACTCAACACCATGCTAAGGGACCGCTCCAACCCACCACCCTGACGAGACGCCCCCCAGCACCCGTGAACGCCCCTTCCCACCTCCTCTCACCACTCATCAGCACCCCCTCCACCACGGCCAGCATTTCCTGGCTATATCAACACAAAGCTCCACCCTCATCTCCATCAGCGGCCAGTTGGTCTAATGGTATGACGTCCGCACCACATGTTGTACGATAGGTGTTCGGATACGTGTGCGAGTACGTGTTCGAGTACGTGTTCGGTACGTGTGGGAGTAGCGCGGAAGACGGGGGTTCAATCCCTCCACTGGCCATTCTTTTGGCATTCTTGACGTCCACCTCCTTGACCTCCCCAATGGCCTTCTTTTGGCAGCAGGGCGGTGCGAGGGGAGGTTATGTAGTGCAATGATAGGTGCTAGAAGGTATAAGGGCTGGTTGGTCTAGTGGTGATGATGTCCGCTCCATATGTTGTACGAGTAGGTATGCGAGTATGGTGTATGGGTGTGCGGAAGATGGGGGTTCAACTCCTCCACCGGCTATCTTTTTGCGCGTTTTTTCTTTTCGGTTCAGTGAAGTCCTGAGATGGCGGCAGCATAAGACCGTGGGATAAGTTGGTGCCGCGATAAACAGGGTGATGTTGCTGATATCTGAGCCTTCGAAGACTGGATGAGATGCGGAGAGGTGAGGCCGAGCTGGGTGCAGTACATGTGCGTGCGGAGATCTCCGTTCCCTGTGGGTGGTTGGGTGTGCCCCATCTGTTCATGCCTCCTCCGCACCACGTGATCGCGGAGATGTCTTCTCCGACCCCGCACGCTCCGAGGCCTGCGTAGTGCCTTCCATGGGCATGGAATTGCATCCGGTGCTCTTAATCCTGACCCTCCTCGTGCACATGAAGAGCTCAGGCCGCTTGTATCGGAGAAGGCAGAAGAAGCATACAAGGAAAAGGAGAACAGAAACGATGATGATAGACTGCACGGCCTCGCGACTTGCTTTGCCATTGGCTGACTTGGAAGACATCTTGACCGAGATTTTGACTTGATTTGACTCAGTAAGAGTTGCGGGAAAACTGACAGCACTTCTTGGATCAGAAGGGATAGCAATTAAAAGATGACTGCTGAACAGCTACGCAGTGAGAACTGTGGAAGGGGTTTCAGAAGAATGAGACAAAGACCCAATGGACAGAACAAGGTAAGATTGCGGTTCAGCAAATTTTCCCCGTGTAAGATGGACTGTGGAAAAACAAAAGGTGACAAAGAAAGCGGGATTTGACAAAGGACACAACCGGAAGGCAAGACGGGCACACGTAAAGCGGATGAGCGCTAGGAAGTGAGTGTGGAGGGTTGCTAGGATGGTAGAGGTAAGGCAAGTTATGGAGACGACACGTATAAGCGGTTATTTTGGAAAGGAGATGGATGTGCTTGAGAACGGGAGTATACTTCATGATGTTCGTAGGCCATGGACAAAACTTAGATAGAACTAGGAAGTGCAATATTCAATGGACGACGCTCTTTCAATCCGCGAGAACATAATCAATGACATAGATGTAGACAAAAATTGAGAGACTGACTCGGATGCGATCCGCGTATTGTGGAAAGCGGGAGGTGGGGAAATCTGGGACGAATTCGCAAGATAACGAAGACAGTGAGGGCGGGTAGACAAAAACTTGTATGGAACGTGTAAAAGTTGAACAGATATGACTGCGAGAACTCCCATACACCATCTGAAGGCTGAGAACGGAGAACCCCTGTGCATGACTTAGGGGAGACTGAGGCTTGAGAGAAGTCACGTGACAGACTTGACTAGGATGGCAGAAGAAAAAGAACGGATGGAAGGACACTCAGAGAAAGAGACATTGGGATGGTGGCTTGGAGGAACCATTTTCGGTGACTGGGAACAGGCATCTTCGAAACTGAGGAAACTTTGCACACAGGAAAGGGGACTTCGAGAGAGTGGTCACGTGACAGCTCCGATTTTGCGGACAAATGACAGAAGAAAGACTCTCAGTGGACTTTGATTCAAAGGAACATTGTGTGGACTCTTCTGAGACTGTGATTGGGACACGGACTTCACTTTGGAGGTGGGAAACTAGAGAAGAAAGACTAAGTATGGACTACCTGCTGATATGAAAACATCCCAGAGATGGACTTAAAGCAGAGCCGCAAACACTAGACAAAAGAACGGAGGTCCGCAGGAAGAAGATATTGGAGAGGAAGAAAATCGCCAGACTGAACTTCGTACGAAACAGCGGGAGAAAGAGAGCGGTTAGAGAGTTGGAATTGACTCGTGAACAGAGCGTTGATAAGAGACAGGATTGAATGATCTTGATTCCGGCGGAGAAAGGAGAGAAAACGTATTGGAGAGGCGAGATGAGGAACGGCTGGACGAATGAGGGACATAGGCAAGAGCTGATTGCATTGAGAAGGATAGGGACCATGAGATTGGTCCGATAGGGACGTTGAACCGGAGAGAAGATGCGTACCGGCGAAAAAGACTGCAGATAACCAGGAAAGGCGTTGAACTTGGAAGTTGAGCTGCTTGTGAACAGTTGAGACTCAACCAACGAGAGGAGCGGGGAGACAATAACCTGGAACTTGAGTAGAGGAGATCTACGAGCTGAAGAATGAAACACAACGGCATCGATACTCAGCTAGTGTAGAAAAGTATCAATCAAGTGACTTTGGTAGTTTCGAACAACTGGGGTGATGACGGAAAGACCGGGCAGAGAACTGACAAAGAGATGCGGAGGATAGACAGCTTGCACCGGAAGAAAGGACTGTGGAGGATCTTGAAGGCGGTGGAACGCTGAACTGCTTGAGGGAAGATCTGATTGAAAACCATGACGAGGTGGAGAGAGAAGATAGATACCAGGCTTGACTGGAGGAACCGAACAGTAGAAGTATCAAATCCGGCAGCAAGGATACTTGAATGGTTTGAGAACGTATGAGGCGGAGGTATCACAGAGAGTAAAGGTGAAAGCCCGGATGAGGATGAGGTGGTTGAACGCTGACCTGCTTGAAAGAGAGATTAACTGACCAGAAACCGAAAAAGGACGAAGGAGATGATGGCTTGAACAAGAGAAGTTAAGAGCAGATGCATGAAGCAACCCGGACGTATGAAGTAAACCAGTACTGATACTAAGGTGAGTGTAAGAAAGGGGAAGCGGAGAAACCAAACCACATGACAGTGACGGCATAGAGTAGTGAGAACTTTGGTGAGTGGAATTGGAAGAGAATGGACAAAGCACTTGCGACTGTGGACTTGAACATGGAGAGAGATGTGAACAGACGCGGTGAATATGTCAAACCATTACTATGATGTGATGAGAGGACAGGAAAATCGGATCACGCGACTTCAGGGAGATGCAGTCACAGACTCGGATGGGAAGATCTTAGAGGATACGACAGAGATGAATAAGAGTTCCGGTTTCGAGATGGAGGCTACGAGCAGACTGACGGAGTGGAGAAATGCGGAGGCTGGACACGCTCAGACTAAGGGAACGGAATACTGTGGGACACATGACCCGCGGCTCGTACCGAGAAGCTTGGGGAAGACTACGACATGAGACATTGATTGAGTAGAGAAGGGTTCGACTTGTATGAAGAGGGCGCGACGAGGATAAGGTTTGTAGCGCTGATAACGAGAATGACCAAAGGGGACTGGGGAACTGCGAATGTATGACATAGACCCTTGTAGCGAACGTGGTAGATCTTCGAGACGAGAGAGCGGGAGAGATGAATGAGGGTATGCGTAAGATCTGAAAGGCTCGAAGAAGAGGAACGCTTGAGATGCGCGGGAAGCTATGACCGAGACGGGCCAGCAGAAGAGATAGCTGAAGCAATGACAGATGGATTGAAGCTTGTACTAGTTGACGTTGGAAGACGAGACTTGGTTGAGAACGCGAGAAGGCAGAAGTGTTTCAGGAGGAAGGAGTTCGGTGAGCGGAATGACTGAGTAGATCTGACAGGACGAAACCGGAGGAGGAAGACTTGACCGCGACGCGTGTGCGTATGAAAGGAGACTTGTTGAGATGACTGAATGACCGAATGACTGAAGACGAGCGGTGGCTTTGAGTGACGTTTTGGAGGCTAGAAGAAAGCGCTAAGCGGCAGCGGACTTCAAAGATCTATGTGAGCTGTTGAGAGCGACGGTGAAATGTGAGAGGGAAGAAGGAGACTGGTTGTCAGCAGAGGCGAAGAGGTCCTTGAAAGGGGAAGGACAACTGGGGTGACTGGTGACAGCCCTGAAGTCTGGCGGTGGGCGGCTTCAGGCCGAAAGTCGGCCACGTTGAGATGCAATACCTTCTGTACGCTAGAGAGACGACAAGGAGACTGAAGGGGCTGTGATCCAGAGGCTCACAGTGTAGAAGGCTGGTGATGGAGGGTGTGGGTTGGTGTTGAAGGAAAGTGGAAGGCGTAAGATCCGTCGCGGCTTCCTGAAAATGAGAAAGTAAGAGAACACCTCACGCTTGCCGCATCACGGTTGTCGTCACCTGCAGTCAGCGGAAACCACTCTCCTCAAGAGCTGCATGCTGAGCTGCTAGTGCTTGTTGCTATGCTGAATGTGCTAGAGTGAGCGTGTCGTTGGTGGAGGAGTGTACAAGAAGAAAGAAGGAAGGAAGACCGCCGTCGTGGCTGAAAGAACGGTGCGGAGCTCGGTCCCACCTTCCGCCGCCATGCCTTCAGTAGCAAGCTGCAACACCACCACGAACGCCAGGAGCACCCCATCCATACCTCCCACCTCTCTTCCAATCCTGCCAGCAAGGCTTGCAGAGGCGCCGAGACCTGATTGCAACTCCCACTGCTAGCTTGAACCGACGAAATCCGCCTCGCAGTGCCGAAGATCGAAATACCTCCGCACCTGGGAAGCCCGTCGATACACCTCCATCACAGTTCGAGATACTACCCACATTACCCAGCGCTGCTGAAGCTGGCATGAGGGAGGCCTCTGAGCGTGTCGAAGCCTCTGCTGATGTAGAAGCGGATTTGTCCTCTCCCTGAACGATACCGGACAGGCTCTCCTGGACACCGAAGTCAGCATTCTGCCACGCCGTCCACACATTCATCAAAAGCGACACCAAGCATAGCAGCATATCATGCTGCAGTATCCTCCGCGGAAGTCTCCGAATGCCAGCCCAGGAACTCTCGCTCGACTTCATCCAGTGGAAGCAACCAGCGGACAACCCTTCATATACACCGGCAACCAGCAGCGCTTCAGAGACGACAGGCAACCACGCAAAAGGATACAGCAGACACAGGCATGGCGGATGACACGAAGCCTTCGGGACGCACAACTCTGGAGCCGGGACCGTAGCCCTGACGTCCAACGCGGCGGACGAAGCCAGCGAAAGTCACTCCGCGAACAACGGCAACCACATCATCGGATCCGCAACAGCAGCCGCAGGAAGGGAATGAACAATAAGCGCAATGACGATCTCTTTGAGTGATGGCCGAGCGGAACAATGGGGCTGACAGCCTGGGCAAGAGACTGAAGCCAGCCAGGCATGATGGCCTCGCTGTCGCCACAGGTTACAAGGCGCTGC